CAGCATCTGCACTGGGGTCAGCAGCCTTGGCCATCAGACACAGACTTGGCTCCAGTTAGGATTTTAATGAGGAGAGCTCAGAAAAGTTGCTGGTGACGGTAGGAAAAAAGCAAGTGAGCGGGCCATAAATCAGGTCATCGGATGGATTCAGAAGGCACTAATAAAATCAGAGCTTCCAATAAATTTCATTTTGGGCAGAGTAGAAACGTTTTTCTCAGTCGAGCGTTCAGGACAGATTATAATTTCAGATGTGTGTAAGGCCAGTGCAATGTGTCTACAGAAATGTTTGCAGGCAGCGCTGGCTGCTCTGGCCAGTCAGGCCCTCCACACCAGGCATTTTTCAGTATGATTCAACCGAAATACAAAAAAAATCTCTAGCTCACTAAGCAAAGCTGAATCTAATTAAATATTTATTCTTATTTTTTCCCCTCCTTAAAGCCTTTGGTTTCTTGCTCTTTTACTCTTTTATACTGTGCAAAGATGACATTTGAACAACAAATGCAGTCTTGGTAGGTGGGTCTCTTGGTATTGCTTTTTATATGAATAGCTCCCACATCCCGCCTGAAGTCCAGATGCTGCTTTTATGAGGGTTTTTTTTTTTTTTTCTCCTGATCAATTTTTAAAAAAACATTTTTCCATCCCATGAAATTAATAGCTACCTGGGGAAATACCAACCAGCTCTTCCCCATTCCTGCAAATACTAACCTTTTCCCAGAGGGAAAAGACTCTCACTTTATTTACCTGCAAGATGTCCTTGCCAGTGCTCATAACCACAGAGGGAGGAGAGAAAAAAAAGTGAAAAAAAACTCCACCGTAAAAGGAAAACTTTACAAACATAACAACTTGCTAAATAGGAACACAGTCTTCCAAGCGCTTATTTCACTGAACAAGCCCTGCATAATCTTCCCAGGGTCGCTGAGTGAGTCATTAGCAAGATGGCATGAGCACAGAGGCATCCTGATTTTTCTAACTATTCTGATTGCTTTACGACCCCAATTTGAAAGGCCGCAAGTTTGTGCGGGCCGCACAGTCACGCAGATAACTTCTCTCAGCTTTACAAATTGCTTTTCTTGCAATCATCTCACCACTGTGTGCCTGAAGGGTTGTGTTTTTTTTTTTTTCTCTCCTCTTTCTTTTTTTCAAACTTGCCTTTGTGCTCTTTGGCTTTCAGACTTGCTGCTGCCCGGAGTGCCTGGAGCTCCCGAGGGGAAGCAGAGGGAAGGCCTCGGGTTGGGGCCGCCCCAGCGCCCCGGGTATCTGGCCCCACTCACGCGATGGCTCCAGAGCTGTGAGTTGTCATTCCAGGGAACCTATGGGATACATGAAGCCAACCCATTCAGCGCAGGACAGCATTCGAGGAGGAAATGGCCTTTTTTTCTGTCTTGCCCAGCCTCAGAGTTGGTCGCAGGGCCCGCGCAGGAGGGCGCTGCTCATGTCCACGCTGGCACCATTAGATACAAAATAGTTTCAAAGCTGCAGATAGGCTGCTTTTAGCCTTGGGCTCCTGTGGTCCCGCGCTCTGTTAGTGATAGGGAGACTACTTTGTGGGGTTTTTTTAAAAAAAAAAAAACATAAAAGAGCTTTTTTAACATGTGCTCTTCCAAGTGCTGTTGACTATGGCCTTCTTAGGTCTCTGTGGCGTTTGCCACCACTGCATGACCCAGCAGGACACGCCGTGGCCACAGCACTGGTGCCGTGAGCCGTGTCCAGCCCCGCGTGACTCCGGGGCACGACCGGCTGCTTTAACATAGACCAAAAACACTGCTGGTGGAAAATGCTTGCTTGGCTAGAATAAATGGGTAGGAAAAATACAGCTCTGGATAGAACGAATACAGCTATTTCTATTCAAAAACATGCTGCTTGGTGTCCTGGCTGCATATGTGTGTGCCATTAAAGTAACTACTTGTGCTTTTTTCATACCCTTTAAGGCCTACATGAGATGACCGAGGCAGTGGAGCCTCGGGAGTTACTGTCCCTTTGCAGAAGGGGCACCACGAGCCGCGGCACCACGCTACAGGCCAGGTAATTTTCAAGCAGAGACCCCAGCACAGCTTTGCAGCAAACGGCAGCTCTAGGTGTTTGACTCTGCATTTCTTGTGTGCATCCAATGAAATAGATCACATCAGCAAAAAGAAATTTGAATCAGCTTCTGCATGAGGAATGCCCACCAGGAAATACACACGGGGACATTAAAAGTTCCGGGTATTGTTCAGTACTGTGTCAGGTACTTTCCCCATGCCTAGAAGTACTTTATTTATTTAAAATACAGGTAGGTGCTGTTGTAGTGTTGGAACACGCACAGTAATTTCAAGTGATTAATACCTTGACAGCATAAACTCCATTATCTAAAATCAACTTTTAATTAAAAGAATACTTCATATTTTCTTTGTGATACTAAATTACCTTGATTATTTTTAAATTACGTGTGATGTTGGCACACACTAAATATATGGCATGTGTATTTCTATTGGGCTGTTATTATCTGTCTGAGACATGAATTTCAATTACTAAGCATTAGTAAGTATTTAGGAATGATCTGTAAGTTTGCCATTAATTTTGCCAGGAATGATTTCTTTAACTCTCTCTTTGAAGAACAGTATTGTATTTGCACAAAAGCGGTATTTTTCTTAAAAGAAGGTGGTTCAGAGGAAGCAGAGTCCACCTGAAGGATGAAGGATGGCTCCGGCCACAGTAGAGGTGTCCTAGGGGCTCCCCCGGCTCCGCTGTGCCCGCTCCGGAGCCGGGCGCTTCCCGGGAAGTTCTGCATGGAGCTCGGGAGGCCGCGGGCTCCGCGCCCAGCGCAGCGGGAGGCTCCTGCCGCAGCCTCGGGCCCGCGGCTCCCAGCCTGCTCGGGAACAGGGAAGCCACACAGTTGCTACATTGGAATATTTTATTTTTGACTTTACATGCGGTGTTAAAAACCCAAAGAACGTATTATTTACACATCCACAATACAAGTTTACAAGATATCTATACATGTTAAGTACTCTATAGTATAGAGCAGCTTCATTTAAGGGTTACTTTTTTATGCCGTACCATTAAAAAAGATACAATCTGCGTTTACCTTTGCACAAATGGATAAAGCATCTTTTATTATTAAATTAACAGAATAAAGACTAGGTTGAATGTTAGAAATTTCAACATAAATACTGAGAGAACTCACATTACCATCTACAAGGCAGCACAATGTTACAGGAGGTTATCAGGGTTCACATACATTTATCTTTTGTTTTCACACAAGTCTGAATTAATATTTGTAAAGTGAATTCGGATCAGTTTTTGTCTTTTGACAACTGAGTACATTTTTAATAGATATTAATCTTGTAGTGTTTTAGTTGCAAGCCAGAAGTGTTTAGGAAGAGAGATCATTGATTTTTGGATCCAGAGGTCTCAGGAAATAAACGTCCCTTACAGCCTTACCATAAAAAATGACTACTTCTATCCTTTGTTCTTTGTTCTATAACAGAGATTCAGTTTTCAGTGACTAACCTTTTCTCCCCTTCAAACAGATCATATAAGTCTCCATGGTCTCTGAAACCCATCGCAGTTATTTGTCCCACTAATTCATGACTATGCCTCTGCCATGGTTATTTCTATAGTTATCTTCAATAAACAATGTGGTAGTCTGTATTTGCAAGCTAAAATAGCCATCTGTGTTGAACATCAGCTGCAAGTGGATACTGTAAAACCTACTAAATGGCTTACACAACTTCAGCAGGTGTTCCATTACCCTAGAAACCTCATTTGATTTCGCATTATAACTGTTTGATCCTTCGGAGAGCTGGGGTGGAATGTTTATCATGGCAAGGTGATTTAATGCTGCTGTCTTCTTGGATTGTAGGCTGCCTTTAGTTATCGTTAATTATTCTTGCCTTTCATCTTTTTTTTTTTTGGGGGGCGCTGTTGAGAGGGTTTTTTACACTGGCACTCAGGAAATATGTGCTATAGTGAGAACACTTGACAGTTTTTTTTTTGTTTTTTTTTTTTTAGTACTTTTATCATTTGCATGAATAAGGCACAAAATGCACAGATTCAGGTAAACTCACACATAGTATTTACAGAATATTGTCATTACCTGCATGACTTTGGAAAAAAAAAAAAAAAACCCTTACATTACACAACAAAAACAAATTGATTGCACTACTGTTGAGTTTTCACAGACTGCTTCTGCCAGGCCAATTAATGTTTCTTCCTTTCTACTGACAAGAGTCTATCAGAGTGTAGGGCATTACTAAATGCAACAAACCCACAACCTTCGGTATGACACAGGCCTCTGCCCAGCAAATTGCTGATTATTAGCTGCCCTCAAGGAGAAGTGCAGGGCTGGATTCACAGTGGCCAGGCAGGGATGGGGGCAGCAGGGCTCCCCACGCCAGCCCCAACGCTGGGGTTGCGCTGCAGAGCTCCGACCGCAGCAGCGTGACGAGGACGACCGCGTCCGCGCTCCCTCGCCGGGCGCCTCGCGCCGCGGCTGCCCGGGAGGAGCCGCCTGCTTGTTCAGTCATGCTCAATGTAAACAATTCCATAGCAAAAGAGATGCAATGGGAAGCTAAATACACCCTAGTGTGTACAGTACACACGCACATCCACACACACACGCACGCACAGCTTTATCTGTGGCACCAACAAAATGCCACACACATGGACAGGAAAAACAAAAAAGAAACAAAAAAAAGAATGCTACAGTTGGGCCAGAGACTGAATTCCAGCAAATCGATTATTAACTCAGATAGTCATTGAGACATTTCCATTTTCTGACATTTGTGCAAGAGGCAAGGTGAATGCATACATACTAAAATGTTCACATTTAATGGGAAGGACCACGTTTAACGGCAGTCTAAAATGGAACCCATTTTTCAAGTATTTGCTCACAGAATTTTTTTTCCAGGAACTTTTTCAGCTATTTAGAACAGTAAAGTAGCCCCCACCCCGTTGTGCTACATGTCTCCTTAGCTCCAAACAAAAGAAATGTAATGACCAGCACTTTCCTTTGTTTCCTGTTTGCTTGCTCCTAGCAAGTGCACAAAGTCTTGCTATAGCTACATGGTGGCAAGACACAGATGTTGCTGAAGTAAAGACAGTTTCTTTGGCCACTTTGTTCTTTTTAATTACAAGCAAGTCTCTGTCTTACGTGTCTCCCACAACAAAGAGCATCTCACAACCTACACAGGTCGATGCCACGCTCCTTCCTAGCACAGACAAGTCCTAGTAGCTGTATTTGTTCAGTGGTCTGACTGAAGTGGTCTGAGGAACGAACGAGGGTTTTGGGGGCACGTCGGGTTTTAGGGAGGGTGTCCTCTTTATGCCTGTGCGAGGAAGGGTGCCGTTGCTCGTGTAACTGCTTTGCCTGGACAAAGAAGGCTGCAGGTGGACGCTGACGGGCGTCCCTTGCATGTAGTCCATCTTTGTGCCTGCCGTGGCGGGCATGTACCCGCCACGGTTAATACAAAACACCATTTGGTGAGTTTAAGTTTTTAGGAAGGGCAGATATAGAATGCCTTTGTGAGGAATTTTTGTGATACCCTCTTTGCCTTTCCAAAGAGGTCATGGGTACTCCAGGCGTGGTGGGAACATCCACCCGCTTGGTGGGACTGTTCCGTGGGAGCGTCGAGGGAGGAGAGTATAAAGATGCCTCCCTGTTGGGAACTTTAGGTGGGATCTCAGACATATTTCCCATTGGATCCAGCATTAAAGTCTGGTGGGCCACTTGAATATCTCCCATAATTGCTTTGGGATTACTACTAGGTTCATTTAAGTGTTTCAGAAAATCATTCAGGGTGTTCCTGGAATCAACAGATCGCCTGTGGTCTCTTTTGCTGGATGGTTTTGTAAGTGGGTGATCAATATGTTGCATCTTTTTGTCTGCCTTGTGTGCATTAGAATTTGAGAACGACGTGTTGTAATCATGGGTCGCGTTGGGAAGGACGATGGCGCTGGGAATATGTCCGTGACTTAGAGGAGAATGGGGTGGAGGACTGGAAGGAAAAAACTGAGGGCTTTTTAGCGGGGCTTCCTTTCGCGAGGCGTTGAGGTTGCCATGCGCTTTGTCCGACTGACTCTTCATAGCCTGCATGGTCTTCTGCTGAAGGACGGGTGTAGATTCAGGGGTTGGCAGCGCGGCTAACTCGGGAGGCTGGCCCCGGGGGTCCATCATCATGGCCTTCGTATCACCGTTGGGTGGCAGCTCCTTTCTGCTAGTCAGCAGGTTTGTGTAGAGCTTGGGTGAATCGATGTTTTGTTGATACTCCTTGACGGGACTATCAAACAACCCATTCAGTTTGGCAAAACTCCCGCTGGAGTCAGTGCAGGACTGGGCCGATTCTGCATCTTTGTGTATTTTTCTGGATTTCCGTACAAACATATCCCGGTAGCAGTAAACAGCCACTCCCGCAATAAAGGCTCCCAGGACAAAAGCAGCAAAGACACAAGTGATTAGGACATTCATATGTACCATTTGGTTGGAATCTCCTGATTGCACTTCCCACCTTACACCTGCAAAAGACACACAGTATATGATAAATGACCACGCAGTTCCCAGTGCTCATTTCAGAAGCAGGCAGCCTGCCTCGGGGAGGGCAGCAGCAGCTACTCAGGGCAAGTTAAGAGCTCTGCACCTTGGGTTAGCTTAACTCAGTAGGATTCTGCCATCTAAAGCACTGGTGAATGGTAATAGTTTTACACATAAAAGGTACTATGTTAGTATCTGTCCACATGAAGGTTTCCCATTTTCTTTGCTAATGAGGAATGCTTGTCAGTGCTTCACTTCTTATATTATACTTGGTTATAAAGTATACTCTATTGGTTTAGTCTGTCCCCAAATCTCCTTTAAGGCTCACAAATAGGGGCTTGCATGTTGTTAGCACTAATGATTTCTGCTAGAAAATTGAGGTTAGAAGGTGTTATTTGGCCAGACAACAATTAATAACTCACGGATGGATTTCTTTCTCGATTTCCTACCCAACTCATAAATCAGTATCAAAAGAGAGAAAATATTACGCAAATGTTGCATAAAAATAACACACATACTGTGTTGTTATAACCGTGTTAATATGATACTGTGCAGAACATGTCAACTAATAGTTTGCTAGCCTTGGAGAGGTACATTTTGTATTATGTAAGCGTATAATTCTTAAAATTCAATACTATGTTATTCTATTAAAGCACTAATTTTTTCTTCTCTTTTTAGTCCATAGTGATCATACACACTGGCACATCATTTAAAAACCTTGCAAGGTTAAATGATGTTATAAGAGATTGTTAAAATTTAGAAAACTTTCAGCTTAGACCAAGAGGTTGAATACTGGATTAGTTTGTGCTTCACATATTAATACAGGCTCCCTTTGTTTTTTGAGATTTTATAGCGCAACCACAGACATATTTCTTGCAGCTAAGACTATGTTAGTTTTTAATGAAAGTAATTCTGTTGTTAACTATCCCAAAGGATGTTAAAATGAAAGCGCAAGAGTGAAGGAACAGATTTGCTTTTGTTAGCGGCAAGGCCTTTGACCAGTGTTAACGTTCAGGGTTATAGGTTTTAGTGGCACTGTGCAGAAGAAGAAAAAAAAAAAAATCATGTATAAAGTTCACTAGCAGCTATGGCACAAAATATGACTGAGAACCAAGAGCAAATGATAGCAAAAATTTAAACAAAGCAAAATGGAAAACAACGTCAACAAATTAAAATGACAAATGCACTGCCATAATGGCTGATAGGAAACCTGATATGTTTTGGTGAATGGTAATAAAACAGGAATGGTTTTTAGCAGGTGAGATTTTTCAGCGAATACAGAATTGTGCAAACATGTCTGTCATCCGGCTGCTCTGTGTGCTGGTAAAGACTTGCTTTAAATTTTGGCTCTGGGATTGGAAGCTTTGGTTCCTCTAGCTGACGGCAGCACTGTTCAGTTGAACTGAAATCTTTAATTTGAGTCTCTCTTAGCTGAAAGAATGGCCTACAGAAAGGTGAATTGCATGTCATAGATGCCTCTCTTAGTGTTCAGATTAAAAGCTGTGTGCATGTGTGTGTGTGCACTGAGATGCTCCGTAAACTTGTGCTCTATACCAGAGAATAAAAATTCAGTGTGTCCTGACTCAGATGGCAGCCGATGTGCCCCCACTTATAGCATGGATCTGTCAAGGTGGGTTCTGTGATTTATTTCCCCTCTCCTGCTCCCAAACCCCAAAGCATTATATTTATTTTAGACACTGCCTGTAAACAACTATTCCTAGGCAATAGTAGCCTTATCCAAACTGGACTGGTGTGAAACTTAAACAATCGAAGTGCAGGTGAAGCTGAAGTTACTTTTTTTTTATTATTTAATGCATACAGAACTCCTGTTGAGTTTGATGGGAGCTTTGGAGCACCCCATGAAAAGAGGCTGAACCTTTTATCTGTTTCCCATTATAAGTGCTAAGCATCACTTTGTACAGCAGATAAATAGGCATGAGCAACATGATTGCACTGTCTGCATAGTCACAGGAAATGGGTATAAACTGTAGCCCAACAATCATGGCTGTTATGTTTAAATCTTAGAAAATGCTGAGACTATCAGGTTTCCATTCAGCTGCAATATATTTTCCCTGGTAAGGCCTTACCCTTTGGGACACCTGATAATGGATCAGAAAAATCAGAAGTGTTTGGGTCATCTTGAACTACAAATTTCCGAGAGCCAGGCACTTTAGGTTTCCAGGAACCAATCACTTTAGGTGATATAACTGGGATACTTGCCATTGTGGTAATGGAAGCTGAGGAGAACTCCATGTCTGTGGTGGCAAACAGATTTTTATTAATGTGTATTACAGTCAGGCTTTCCTCAGTGTTTCATGGCACATCTAAGCTATAGCTGGAGACAGTATTTAATGGGAGTTACATGTCAGAGTAAGACGTGACCCCGACACTTTCCAGAAGTACAGAGGGCTGATTAAAATCAATCAGTTGAAAACTTTAAGTAAAAAAAAAATACATTAAAACATCAACAGCTGCTAGACAAAACGCTAGAGAAGTCAAACATGAAAGCAGTGCAAAAGTTACAGTGAGCAATTGGTGGAGGTGAAAAGCACAATTTTTTCTACTTAATTGCTATATTGTTCAGTGGAGACAACATATTTTGCTGTGTTTTAAATATCTTCGGTGGGAAAAAAAAAGAAAAAAAGAAAAAAAATAAGCCTTGGAAAGACACATGCTCATGACAGGTTACTCCTGGAGAACCAGCTGAGTTCCATGAGTGCCATTACAGTCTACCAGGACCCGCTCAAGTGAGTCCCTGCCTTGGAGAGGGGAGAAGGATTTTTTTTTAGCTTCTCTTTTATACTGTAACTAAGGAACAAAGCTGTACAGATTTGCTTTAGTTTATTTGCTGAATGGAATTGCTATGGCCTAGGTGGAGACAGCCCCAGTCAGGTTTACAGCTGGAGTCTACACTGCCCACAAAAGTAGCATTTTGTGTACGCTGGTCAGATCAGTTTAGACACCACTGTCTGTGGCCTGAGATCTGACTGAGAAAAGTGAGTACTCAAAAAGCATGCTAATGCAGGACTTGAAAATCAGGTTCAATTATCCCTGTATCCTAAAATATCACTTTGAACACTCAATCGATACAGTACATATTCATGCAAGTAAGTTAGCATTTTCCTGTAATGACTCCTTCCTAAACGACTCTCTAGCCTACATTATGGTAAATAAATCTGGAAAATAATTGTTTCAAATATTACTTCTTGTCAAGCTACAGAAGTGAAAATATTATCAGAAACCAAGACACAAAATAATATTTTGTTGCACTCGTACAAATTCACCATGCAAGTAGTGCCTTTTCAGATGTAGCAATCAGAAATGTGCCTCAGTTTGACACTAGAAATCCCGTTCCAGGAGGAAACGCTGGGAAATAATGGCTGGGGCTTGCTCCTGTTGAAGTCACTACAAGTTCTGCTTTTGAGTTCAACAGAGGAGCATTGGGTCCTGTCCCCCTGAACAGCAGGGGCTGAGAATGGAAACACTGCTGGAAGAAAAACCACTGATGGATGTGAAAGTCCATCTGACAGCAAGGCATCAAGTTTTCTAATCCAGCTTTGTCTACACAAGTCCTCATTCAGCTACAAAATTCGTGATGTTGAAGTACTTCCATTAGCACAAACTCCTTAAAACATTTCAAAAATGTAGAAATACACATTTTAGGAAATGTGTATTTGTGCAAAAGGTTTGCTGGGAAAGAAGGAAAGGGGAAAAGGAGAGGAAAGAAGGAAGATGATGATATTTTGCCATTCATCTACTAGAGATGACCAATAGGGGCATTCACAAATGCATGGCTGGGGATAAGAGTAAAGCTTAGTGGACTTTCGTGCAGTGAAGATGTCATCTATGTTAATCAGGCTCTTTAATAGAAGATGTCTCAATAAATAATGAGCTGTTAACATGCGACTACACAGGGTGAAGTGCTGAGTGAGAAGAGTCTGACTATCTTGACCATCAGTGGGAACATGAGTAAAAGCACAAAAATGGAGGATTGCCAACTGTGCAAAAGGAAGGAAAAAAGGGCTGAAAATGCTGAACTGAAGGAAAGTAAAGGGCATTAATTCAAAAAAATTAAAAAAAACTAACCAGATGTTGGGCCGCCAAATATTTTGTAATCTGGTGTAGCTGTAGTAGGCAAAATTTCTAAAAGAATTAAAGGAACAAGTAATCAGTGAAAAGTAACAAAAAGAAAGCAAAAGATCTCAAACCTGAGTGACGGAAAATAAAAACTAAAATATTACTGTTTTTTTAAAAAACAGATTCGTCAGTACTTTGCTGTAGACCCCAAATAGCTGTAAATTGGTGAATGGGAAGAAAGGTAAACTCTGCCACCCAGGACCAAAAAGCTCAGCTTTGTGAACATTCACAGTAACGCCAGGTGATGTGTTCATCATGTTACTGACAAGCTCATCATAAATTTAACATCCACAGTGAAGTGCAGCCACAAACTAGTGCTGGCACGTTGTAAAAGAGAGCAGCAGTGGCTATGTCTTACCATGGCAGTCCCCAAGCTGCGCTGTGTTGCCGTATTCTACGTCCTGGATGAACCCTCCAGTGCTGTGGTTGTATGAAACAAACAAAGAGAACCTGCAATTAACAGTATTGGTAGGGAAACAAAGGGTGATTTTATTTTTTCTTCTGGAAGCAACAAATGGAAACATATTTATTCAGTCAACTTAGAGGTACAAGAGCTAGTATAAAATTACATACAAAAAAAAAAAAAATTATTTACAAAATGCACAGGTGACATCAAATCTTTAAAATCGTATTTGCTTATATTGGCCTAGCTTCTGTATGGAATCAAAATTCTTCTTTCCCCAGTCCAAAACATGTATTTTCTTATTTGCGTTTGAATGCACCCAGGCCATGAGTGTGCCTGGGAGGGGATACTGCACTGAGCTGCTTACAGGCAGTGATTTGTCACCTTGCTGCTTTCCACTGCTCTTCCTACAGAGCTGTTTGGCCTTACACACATGCAAAACTCCACTGAACGCAAATCTTCATGAAGAGATTCTAGAATTAGGTCAGACTTTAGCATTCTGTTCCCCTACCTAGACAGTACATGAAAATAACAGCTCTAAAAAGAAGGGAGATTTGTTAATTGAGTGCAAGGGAACAGGCGTATGATAGAGGCTCTTGTGGTCTATAAAACATATGGTAGAGATGCTGGGCTAATTTGAGCAGCAACACTTACAGCATGCCTGGCGTCACTCGTCCACAAGCCTCGTGGTCTAACCAGCCGCAGTACGGGTCCCGGGCAGCAATGCATGACCTTGCAGGAGCAAAACGTGACAAAAATCAGGCGCTTTTCTTTTACTTCCTTCCTTTAAGAAGGATTTGGGAAAGGACATACTTTTTACACGCTCCGTGCCGCTCGCACCGACTCAGAGGAATCCTGACGACGCAGCTGGAGAAGGCCACGAAGAGCGCGTGGTGCTCCCTGTCCAGCTGCAGGGAGAGCACTCGTCTGTCCTCCTCGCTCTCAGCGATGCACCTGTTTTGCAGAAATAATGCAAAGCCCTCATTTTAGCACCTGTGGTACTCTGTGCAGTGCTTCCACTGGGAAGGGTTTGATTTACTGTCTGTGTACATTCTGAAATGCAGCATTTTAAATATATAAATGTCTTTGCTGCGTTATTATTAAACAGTGCTATGGGTTATCAAAAGCTGGCTTCTGGCTCTTATTTACAGCTGGGTGACAATCTTGCTGAACTATGTAGGAAAAAAAAAAATCCACATCCCATTTCCTTTGTACTCTCAGTTGGCATAAACATCTCAAGGGAGCAGAACAGGAGTCCTGTACAGAGTGCCCAGGGAGCCTAATTGGAACGTTTCCATTCCAGAAGTCTCTGCTCCAGAATAAACAAGTTTAAAATGATTAGAAGTGGCTTATCTATTATTGGTCACCCTTCAGAAACCCTGAAGATAAGCTCACATCATTTCTCTTTAATAGCAGTATATAGTTCTGATGTTTGATATTCAGGAAAAAAGTGTATCTACTTGCAGAAGTATTAGAGTGTGTCACTGACGTCACTCAAGTGGAATTGGACTGTTCACTCAACCCATGAAAAATGGCAAGTACCCAAATATTTTCAGGTTATCCAACACAAAAAAAACATTGTAGAATGACAAACAAGTGATGGTGGTGGTGATAGTGAGTTGTTTTTGTTTTAAAACGATTATTTTTTAAGCTAGCTACCAAGGACTAGAAGATGAGCTAAATATTTTAGATGTTGTGGTAATACTTACTTTGCATGATTATAAGCTTCAATTTCTTCCAGTAATACACTGTCATTCAAAGAAAAAGATCTGGTCTTTGCCAAGATTTTAAGTACTACTCCTGCTTCAGAGCCAACAAATATGACTGTGTAGTTCTGGTAGGGTCCAGCAGCATGGTCTACTGCAATTGCCGTCAACCTGTATCTACCAAAACCAAAAGGCCTATCATTAATTACCAGCATGCTTTCTTGTTTTCATTTTCACATCTGTTCTTCCTGAATGAAGCCATACCTGACACGTGTTTTTGTAAACCAGGGCTCCTCGATGATTGAGGGGACAGCTGAATCCATCAAAGGATGAGACTTGATGAAGGAGAGCGTTTCGTCTGGGAAATCAATGGAGGTTTTGTAAGCCTCTGCTAGGCCATGTTTTGCACAGCAGCCAGGTCTGAAAGGAGAACAACATTGTTTTTCCTCTTGGTATTTTAGTTAATGAGAGCAGCCAGCCTACTAATGAGCATTCGTATGGCTGAAGTGTAAAGCTGGGCTCTGTTTTTACCCATGAGACACTCAAGCGTGTAGCTGTCTAAGGTAGCTCTTTACAAGGGCAACACTACTGCATCAGGAGCAAGAGGTTTTTTTTTTTTTTTTTTTTTTTTTTTTATATACCTTGGCTTTGGTACTTTGTCTTCAGGTACAGCCGTCCATACAGAGTCAGGAGTCTTTTGTTCTTTAAATCTCCCTTTGAAGACCTTCTCAATGTCATCCATGCTGAAAGCGCACACTGCTGACCCGGGGATGCTGTCGAGCAAGGGAAATCATTGCAGGAACTCAGGCTGCCGCGGCACCAAGCCCGGCACCCGCGGGAGCCGGAGAGGCCTTCGCTGCGGCGCGACGCCGCGCTCACCTGTTAAGCTGCGTGGTGAACACACCGACGACGGTGGGGACCCCGTTGATTTCTATGATGTCTGTGATGGACTGCAGCACATCGAAGTAGAAGAATGAATCCCCAGGAACGGAGCAGTTGAGCCGAGCCTTCAGGAAGGAGGTCCAGTGTTTTTCCAGGACTCTCTGGGACCCTCCCATGTCATTTTTGCATATGCGAGCCACCCGGGAATACACAGCCTGCCAAGGACAAAAAAGAACAAGAGAGGAAGGCTTGAGAGCTGCAAGGAAAGCGGGGCTTGTTTCTGGGCTGTTAATAACACACTGAGGATAATTTTGTTAACAGGAAGATAGTTGCCATTTATCTGCATGGACAGGAGGAAAGTAAACAACGTTTAGCTGCTAGCACACAGGCATCTTAATGCATCACCAAGCAAATGCAGCTCCTCCAGCTTGGCCCTACCTTTTCTTCCCTCATCAAAATCATATTGTTAGTGAGATTTAAAGAGTTTAATTAACCACATGTAAAGGAGTGAATAATTTATTATAGAATAGCCTTCCATGGTGAGGCAAGAGGATTATCTGCTGTGTTGGTATGACTGAATTATTCAATATCTAGCAACATGAGAGAACCTTCTTTGAAACCCTCTTCTGTGGTGTTTTCTGTTGTTCCCTGTTTTCTTTAATAAGCATGAAATACAAAAACAAATCCACGACCTTCCACAAGTGCTAAAGAAACAGCAGCATTAAAAGATACCTGTAGAGAACTCTCTTAACAACAAGGCGGAGAAAGTACAAACAACTTTATGGTTGAAGACTGCTCTCTTTTTTTTTTTTTCCCTGTAAATTATAATGATGGGAAAACTAATGATCCCCGGTTTATATTGCAAACTATGCTTGTTACTGAAGCTGCTTCTGGTAGATCTCATTCTGATAAGACTTCACGGCTACGTGACAGCTTACTGTGATGACACCTACCTTGCCTAAATTATTGTGCTCTACAGCAATTTCTCGAAAGAAGAAATAAACATAGTTCCCGTATTCTATGGCATGGAGGAAATGTGGCTCTGTAAGAGAGAGCAAAGAGAAGGTTACTTCATGGAAGGGTTTGCTGGGCAGAAGACCCCAGGCGCCTTGGTGGCCCCTGCACAGTTCCCTGCCGCTGCGGCTCCCTCCCGTCCCACCACACTCGGGCTCTCCGAGCGCGGGCGCTTTCGAGCCTAAGCGAGCTCAGAGTCTTTAAGGTTGGCTAATGGACTCTGAAAGGGCCTCAGAGGGATTGCATTTCAGCTAGAGGCTTTGTTACTGCAGATTCATTCACTGATGCATTTAACGAAGATTTTGCTTTATGGGCATTAATTTGCTTTCTTACTATGATCATACTGTATCAAAAGCCACATACACATCGATGTTGTGGCACATGGGTGAAGATGCTGGCTGTGAATTACCTGCCCCCCAGCACCACTGCGATTCTGCTCACAGAACAGAGCTCTGGTACACACGGCAAACACCCCTCCTCCCAACCCCCAAATTACCTTTTATCCATTTGGAATCATACTTTATTGTTCTTAGGGCAGATCCATCCCCCATGCTGCGATAAATAACAGCATCACTTGCCAGGAAATCTGCTACTGTTGCTGAATACAATTTTCCATCTAAAATGGAAGTTGAAATGTGGTATTAAAAGGCCTTTAATAATACAGAGAACCTGTATTCTTTCCCATTTTTTTTTTTACTGCCACTCTTCCCTAAATTGCTCTAACCTATTTATTAACAGTTCAGCTTCTAATCCTTTGGAGGCCATTTAAAAAACTTAGGATCAGAGGCACCTTGACACCTTTAGCTTTTCAAAGCTTTCTTTAAAAGCCCTCTGGTTCCTTTGGTGTCATTAATCATTTAGACTCATTACAAGCGAAACTTCTTACCAGCAAAGAGGGCGACATTGGTTTGTCTGGCATCAAACGGGCATCTTGCCAGACCACTAATTTCCTCCCCGTCATATTCCAAGGTGCTCAGCTAGAGAAAAAAAAAATAAATGGGTAGTAGTGTCATTTCTGTTTTGTACAGTGCCACAATAGCATAATACTGTTTTCTTCCAAAACTTAATTTGGCCCATTGGCTTCTGTCTGTTTTTATCTCACCTTGAAGCATTCTCCATAGAATCACCCTGGATATTCTTGCTATAGCACAATTAGCACAAGCAAAAGCAGCACCAGATTAATGACACACTTATGACATGCTTAAGACACAGATTAATGACACACTTAGGACACCCAATGTTCTTACCCGATAGTATCTGCACATAGGATTAAACGCGTTTGTTCCACAGACAAACACCATCTCATCATTTCTTGGAACGAAGACTTTAATGAAGTTATGGCATTCATCCTGAAAAGAGAGTACGACATAAGATTTCACATACACGATATTAGTGTCTTTTTCTTTACAGTGTATAGGATAAACTTACCTTATGTTTGCCTTTCATAGCACAGTTCTCTCTGTCCTGCTGCCTTGATCTCCATGTTAATTTCTGCTTAAATCAAACAAGAAAAGGAAATGACTGACTCTCCACAAAAATCTTAGTAATAATGATAATAATAATAACAACAACAAATAAACCTTTCCTTACCACCTCCTTCGCCCCAGTACCTAACTCACCTTGCTTGGAGTAACTTCTGATTTTGGAACTTCGTTTAAGTTTACAGTGTAAACTTGATCCCTGTTTGCAAAGGGAATAAAAAGATACAGGGGTATTTATTAATCTATTGGACTTACTTTGATAAGATAAATCTATTTTTATAGGTTGTTTTGATAGACAAGAAATATCTTTGAAACCCATACAGATTTCCTTTTTTCAACAAAAGCAGGAGGAGGTTGAGCTTGGGCGGTAGGAGATATTTTTTGTTGTTGTGGTCCTCAGGAAGCATCTTTACTTTCCAGTTACCCAGCTCTTGTCTTTCCTTACTACTGAAGCACAACCCAGACTGTAAATATCGAAGTGTTTCAGCCTTATTCCTACATCCCTGATGTGTCAGTGCAAGTTTAAAATGATCAGGAGAGGTTTTTATCAGAGCTCTTTTATCAGTAACGAGGGAAAAGGGTATTTGATCATTGGTTTTAGCATAACTGCAGTAACTGCAGCCTTCAAATCCAATTTTCATGCACTGACCACAGACATGGCATATTTCTCTAGGAAGTCCTCCTCCCATTCTAATTTTTGTCATATTCTGCAGATTTTTCTAAATGAATTTTACACATTAATGCAAAACCAGGATAGAAAAGAATTTTTATCTAATGAACTGACTAAAGGAAAATTACCTGCCAGCGATATAAAGTGTGTCTCGAATTTTCAACATCAGTTGGAAGTCCAGTCTGTGCTGAGATTCATTGCCTGAAGGGCGTCCTCTAAATACTGGATATTGCCTTGAATCTGCAAGTAAAAATGGGCTACACCATCACTCAGGATTATAGAGCTAAAGAATCAATATATGGCATTGATTAGCTGTATATACTAGGTGTAGAAGGGTTTAAACTAAATTCCTTGAGTAATGTCTTGAATATAAATGAAAAAAAAAAGATGGCTAATGTCAGCAAATGTTCTTTTTCCTGAAGTTATTGCTGTATTTCTGATTGCTTTTTTAAGAAAATGATTAAGTGCTCTATTAACGATACAAAGCCAGTAAACACATTTCAAGGGAAACATTTTTTTTTAGCTACTCAAGGCGAAAAAAAACCCCAAACCCCCCAAACCTGCATTAGAGCTTTCTCCCGGGTGGCTGGCACCATTTGCAGTTGCTTACAGTGGTAGTCCACGACGTTAATGGGGTCCTCGTCCTCGGGGAAGCTGACGGCTCCGCTCAGGCCCAGGCTCGTCAGCATCACCCAGGCACAGAGCAGGGGAAGCCTCATGGCTGGGGAAGGCGGCGCTGCCTCTGGGGCAACACTATTTAACTACCTGCAAAACAGGGACGAGCAGGTGAGATTGCAGCAGCACAGGACAAGAAATGTGACTTCCGAGAGAATAAAAAGGTGGATTTTGTCTTTTTTTTTTTCCTCTCCCACTTGTGTTTAATCATCAGCAGCAGCGGAATAAATTGGAGCTTATGAAAAGGCCTCTGTATGTATGTCGGTGGAACATACTGCTGCATGACATATTGATGTTTGCTAATTTTTTAGCTGGAGTTGCCGGCATTTCGGGGGAAGCTGATGACTGTCAGCCCATTTAATTCGTGAGAATCACAAACAGAACATGCAGGCTGCTGACCTGGCAAGAAAAATCGTCAAACTTGGGATTAGAATTTTAATTAAACTGCAATCTCTTTCCATCCCCTCTATCACGGAATGTCAGCCAATAAAACGGTTTCCCCATAAAATACCTCAATCTTTTCCACAAAAAGCCATGACACACACAATCTGTCTGAACATCCATGCTGTGTTTTAAATTTATTGCGTGTTTCTAGGCTGTGGCACCATAACGCTAAGCCTACCATGCTCATTGCCAAAGACCTTATGTCTGCGAGCCGACACGTGGCACTCTGCCTTGTGCACCGACGTGCACGTGCAGAGCAAGTGTAGCGATGCTGCCTGTGCAGTGTGACAGGGCTTGTCACACACGTCGCAAGGGTGGCAAAGAGGCTGGCGGCGGGACGTGATGCTGAACTGGGTCCCCAAGATCTTCCCTTTCTCCTAAATCTCTGCAGCAGAGTAGATGGCAGATAACTGAGCAGCACTTTCTAGACTTGCTTTTTTTTTTTCTCCCTTTTTTTTGTAGTTCTCTATAGATTATACAGCATGTATTATGGCAGGACCACAACACTACATAGCAAAGCTTTTAAGAGGGGAAGGAAAACAATTTTTCCAACTAAACCACAGGGATATTTTAGTGAGCTGAATGCAACTACTCAAGTTGCCATTTGGGTAAGATGCAAGAAAAAGCATCTCAAAGTGAAATGTGATCTTTAATGACCACAAGTGGTCTGGGAAGGGGCTATGATTCCCATTAGAAACCTGGCAGATGCATCACTGCCCCCCCTCCAGTGATTTGGGGCATTCATTCAGCCCTGACTCACGGCTCAGAAAGCTCTGAGTCACCAGCCCTGTAGTTGCTGAAATCACTTCTTAAACTCTTTAGCTAATCAGGGAAAAACAAAAACAACAACAACAACAACAACAAAAACCCTTTCAATTCTAGTATTTCACAAACTGCTGGGAGAGGTACACACTGCCAGCACAGAGTGCCAGGACTGATCCAGCAAAGTACGTAAGTATTAATCATTTAATAATTTGAAAAGCAATTAAAACAACAACAAGAAACCCTTCGTAACAACACTTAACCTTTCAGTAATGTTTACTTGAGATGAAAAGACGGTATTTGTTAATTGATATTATGGCTGGCTGGGGCAAGACTCCCTCCTTTTGCAAGGCTGCTGTGCGCTGTGCTAGTCTGTGATGGGACTGGCTTAAATGAGACAATATTGGGTGATGGGGTGGTTGCCAGGGGGAAGGGGTCTGAAAGCCTCTGCATTATGGCCTGACCTGAAAATAAGCATTTTTCTGCTCTTGATGATATTTCTGTATCTCAGTCTACCAGTCCAGAACGGATGGGCTGTGCTCCTAGTCGAGATTGATGAGTGCAGTGGTTAATAAACACTAATGATTCCTGGCACTTTCCCTCTGCTCTTCCTTGTCCTGACATGGCCTCTTCAGCTGAAGCATCTTGCATGAAATTACTAATGAGCAAACTTAAAACAAACTGGAATTAATAAAGTTAGGCAAATTAGTTCTTTCTTGTGAAAGCACCATCAGAGCAAAGTCCTGTAGCACAGTGGCTCCCGGCCACAAAAACAAATCATTAATGGTTACACAGCCTTTTTTTTTTTTAATAGACAAGCAGGCTCCAACTCGCCAACCCACTGCTGTCCAGGCGGGAGAGGAAAGGGAAGGGGGAGGCGCGGAGGCTGTAGGGAGGTCAGCGCATCTGAAAAGCCCTTGGGGAAAGTTGTCCCCGAGGCCACGCAGGTCTTTCCGTCAGGAGGATGGAGAAGGAAACGGCTGCAGCGGATCAGCAAGCGACACCCTGCGAGACTAAAACATCCGGATTTCTCTATTATGTTACAGATTAAACTACCGTGAGAAAACGACCAGTAGCTCTGATTTCTAACCACACACAGAAAGGCCCTTGCGTTGAGAGGAATTTAATCGCCCCTAACCACCTTCTAGCTGGTTAGCCACAGACTTGAGACCAGAACCACTAAAAAGCGGCTCCCCTTGAAGAAAAGCTGCTCCTGGGATAATCAGAAAAACAGAGTCATTCCGGCCCCGGGAGCAGCGCTCCCGAGCGCCACGTTCCCGGTGCACGCAGATACGCTGGCGTCAACAGCGTCCTCCTTGCCTCGGTGCAGCCTGGCAATGGGGACCGCTGCTGGGGCCTGCACAAACAACAATGCTGAAGTATCTGCTTGGACCAGAATAGCTGATTATGAAATGCTGGCAACGGCCACCCTCAAGAAAAGGTAGGGAACAACCACACTCTGGGTCTGATTTTTTTCCCCAGAACTTAGACTAGGCTTTGATTAAATTTCTCTTCTGAATTGCATTCCTAGCATTTCTACACCCATAACTTAGGGCAGGCGCGAATCCCGGTAGCTGCCACGCTGCTCTCCTGCTTTGCAGCAGGTAACAGAGGTGCAGGCCAAGGCAGACATCCCCTGCGGATCCGCCAGCCCGGGCACCAAGAGGCCTCCCTAACTCCACTGAGCAGCACCGGTGTCCCCCGGCTGGAAACTAGGGACAAACCAGGGATCCTGGCACCTGCTCTGTAACTTGTTGTGTCTGCAAGGACGCAAAATGGTATAAACATTAACTGCTGGCACAGATCCACACCTGCACAGAGGACAGTGGCCTGAGTGGAAAAACAGGCCCCGGGCAGCAGCGGGTTGGTCAAGTGAAAGGTGAGTGGTTGTCCCAAAGCCCAGTCTGGCTGCTTGTGGCCATCACCCTCGGAGCTCGGGTATGAATCCCATCCTTCAATTCCTGACTGAGGGGATCCAGAGATGCAGGATATCAGTCCTGGTAAAATATGAGCCCTCCTTCAAACAATCCCATATGAAGGGGAATAGGCCAGCGTTTCTTAGTCATTAATCTGCTCCAGACTTTGACAGTTTATTGGTGACATGCCATCAATCATCTCTGCGTGCTCCGCCGTGTAAAAGAGGAGGGGAAGGGAAAGGGCATCCAGCCAGCCGTACAGAAGCAATACATAAAATAGCTTCAACCCAGACTGATGCAGTGTCTTTTATTTGCTCACACACACGAAAAAAAAACATTAAAAATCGCCTTAACACAATAAATATTTTTCAAAAACACCTGGCGCAGACTGGCACATGGTGTGGTAAATCCCAACAGAAGTTCAAGGCAGGTTCGGATGAAAGAGATCCTGAAAGCTGAGTCTCTTGCAGAGTTTGGACAGCCAAAGGAGACAGGGGTTGTGGACCTTAATACAAGGTGAAAGACGGATGCAGAACAGAGAGACCTAAATGAGACCCACTGGTTTCCACTGGCCACCAGCGGAACCCAGGCTGCTAGGAGCACTCCCGGCTCTCCTGTGGGCTCGCGGGCGCGCTTAGCCGCGATGCTCGAGCTCACGTCTTTGCTGCGAAGCCCCGCGTGGGCCGCAGCCGAGCCCTGGCTGCGCAGGGGCCGCGCACACCTGCCCCAGCCATCTCACCAGCTCAGTGTAGCCTGTTTCTGCGACGTGTTTCGCGCCATCGCAGGGGCCTGGACCCTGGCGCAGCAGGAAATCCCAGCGCTCATCAGCTCCTCGCCCCAAGGATGCTGAATGAGTACTGTGTTGCTCAGAGGGTACTTGCTGCAATTTTGAGTGTGAAACTTCACATTTGTAACAAAACAAAGTTCAAAAATAAACAAACAAGAAGTCTTGGCTCCCAAATGTGCAATACCTTTCTCCAGCCCAACCGCTGGGACGGGGGCTCCTCTGCCCAGGGGAGCCCCAGGCGGTGCCAGCAGCCGCACACCAAGCGGGAGCCTCGCAGTGCCCGTCCAGGAGCTGCTTCTCCAGAGAGCGCCCAGGAACTCACACTGCTGCCCTGGCCACAGCCGGGCACCCAGGCCTTCCTCGCTGCCAAATAAACCCTGTGCCAGGCTCCAAATGGGAGCTCACCAGTGCTTGTGCCTATCCTCTGCCTTTGCACACACAGGACTAGGTGTGAATACTCACAAAATAATTGTGTTGGCTTTGTTTTTTTACCCCCTCAAGGCTTATCTTTCAATGCCTTTCCGATCTTTTATGGTCCACAGACCTCAGCGAACACCAGTTCAAAAGGGCACGGTTCAAACTCGGGTCCTCGCAAAGTCAGGGGCACTTTGGGCCGTGCCTCGGCCTCGGGGGCGCCGCGCGCTGCTGGCACCAGCGAGCAGGGCAGAGGTGCCGCGCGGAGACGGCCGCGGGTGACGGCACTGCCACGTGCCCGCGGGCAGGACGGAGCGGCAGGCTGTCACCGGGCTCTGGTTGTCCAGACACAACCTTCCTCTGCACCGCCTGGGCCTTTTGCAGAAATGTGTCCGTTGGGTGGCTATGGACACGCCATGTTAGTCGTGCAGACTCGCCCCTTCTCCCTGCTCTCTGTGCACTAAAGTAACAGCCAGTGTCACCCAATGCAGCACCAGTGCATGAAAACGCAACATTTTTGTGTGATCCCACCCAAAATATAGGAACAGCAGGGCCCAGGGCTTGGTGGCTTGAGCTCTAGAGAGGGAGTAAACAAATCCTCATCCTCCTGCTGTTTTTTGTCTCATGCTGTGAAACAGATAATAATGAGTATTTGCTTACATGCCAACTACTATTCCACGCGAAGCGCAGCGTTTGCCTTACAATGCGTGTGAGTGCCTGTTATATGAGCATCAGGGGATCAGACACTCATGTGAGGTCACGTCTAC